ATATATACACTTATTTATTCATTTATTTATTTATTTATGTGAGTGTGGGTGTGTTCGTTTGTTTGGGTTCTTGCGGCTCTACATATGAATACATGCACAGATACATTAGACCGTTTTCAGGGCTTGACTTGCACTTTACACATTCGCTCTGTCCGTGCTTGTCTCCTTGTTGTAGAGTTGATGGGTGTGGCTATTGTCTTGCATGTTGCTTGAGTGTGTGTGTGTGTGTGTGGAGGTGTTCAAACTGGTGCATGCGTTATTTATGATTCCATGTATCGGAGATCCGAACAGGAAGTGCATGTTGTTGTTGCTGCTTCTAGCAGGGCTACTGCATTGTCTCGTGCTGCTAAAATTTGATGTGTTCACAGTGCGAGTCGTTCGGTGTGATTGCATGTACATGTACTCATACACTTCACAAACTCTTTCCACATGATAAGGTGCCGGTAGTCTGATGAACAGTACAGTGTGACAGTACAGATGCCATGATGCCATTGGTAGACGATGAAAGGCAACTATTATCCGCTGCGCGGCTGTTATCATTGAGTGCTGACAGCACAGCCTACTCAGACCACTGACATGTCGGTGCGATGACCATGGCATTTCTTATAGGATTAGTCTTCGTCCTCAAACTCAGCGCCACATGAACAAGCATCACTGACGGCCACAGCAACAACAACGATGACAGCAGCAGAACACAAAGAGCAAGACTGACTGCAACATTCGTAGCTATCGCAGCACCATGGATATGCTAACTGCTAACCGATGTCAACGACGATAACAACATGTGGATGCAGCCGGCCTCTTCGTCCCCGAGCTCCCAGAAGCAGTCCATGGGCCTTGCAAAGGTTAGCCACGGCACTTTAACGGGCCTACGGCTAGATGCATATAGCCCATGATGAGGAGCCCTCCACCAGAGCGTGTGAACGGTAAGCGGGAAGCCTGGCAACCGGGATCGGGAAACCCCGACATCTCATGTAGTGTAGGTGCATCTACAAAATCTGCAGGATTGATACAATGCATGGGTGAGTCCTTATCCGCTGAGAACCAGTACGAGGCTTGGGAGCAGAACGCGAATCCCTAAACCCTAAACCCCTAAACCCTACACCCTAACCCTAAACCCCAACCCCAAACCCCTAAACCCTAAACCCTTGAAAGCATGCCGAAACCCCCAAAGCCTTGAGCCGAGCTCTGAACACTCAAACCCTCAACCCCCAAAAGCCTAATGTAGGGGCCTGAATAATTAGAATACGGTTCCTTTCAGGGCTCCGGGTTCCCTAAAGGGTTCTATAAGGGTTTACCGTTATACGATACTTATAGTCAGAAACCCCCAAAACAGTATAGGGTTTAGGGTTTAGGGTTTAGGGTTTAGGGTTTAGGGTTTAGGGCCCCTGTAGTATCGAGAAGCCCATAGGAAACCCTGTGACGACCCTGCGAAACACCGAAAGCCGAAACCCGAAAACCCCAAACCCTAAAGCACTAAAACCCCACAATCCCTAAACCCTACAACCCCACAACCCCTACAGTAGATGCCCAACAGTTGGAAACCTAATAGCCGCAATCCTTAAGAGTAATGTATAGGGAATCCCAGCACTATTTGTCCTTAATCCGGTTTCCAACTCTCTTGGGTTTACTATAAACCCAAATTATCCACCTTTTTAAGGATTTATATAAAGAAATCATAATAAGGAACCCTAAAAAGGTAGGTTCTTGGGGGTCCAGGTAAACCCTGCTTGAGGAGGCGGCGCAGAGCCGCATTGCGAGGTGAGGATCTGGGCTTTCCCTGTCGCCGGCACGAAGACCTGGGCTGAGGGCTTAGGGTTTAGAATTTAGGGATTTTAGGGTTTTAGGGGTTTAGGGTAAAGGATATTCGGGTTTAGGGTTTAGGGTTTTAGGGTTTAGGCTCTAGGCTTTAGGGTTTTAGGGTTTGGGGTTTTAGGGTTCAGTTCAGTGTTTAGGGCTTTAGGCTGGAAAGGAAGCTTCCAGCCCAGCCTACATGGGCTTACGGCTTTAGGGGATTTAGGGCTTCGGGTTTTGGGGTTCAAACTTGTTCGGGTATTTGTCTTGGCCACAAGGTTTTAGAGGGTGTTCAGGGGCTTTATAGAAGCCCTTTACAGGT